ATGGAGACATACTTGGAGACTTTCTGGATGGAAATGTGAATGTTCTCGGTGCTCCTTCCAAGCATATGGACCAGTTGGGGGGTGTGGGCTCCCACATACCGAATCCTGCCGGGTCAATGGGGAGGATGCATGTGGGATTGGGTAATTCACCGAGACATCTGGGAAATTAGATTACCTGGTATGCCCAATCAATTTTTAGTCAGTTCTCCTGGGATTACACCTGACATTTGGATGGGCTTAGGGAGTCAATGGACATTTTGGCCGTTAGAACCCCCCCAGCTTCAGTGTACATGTAAACTGAAGCCAGGGGAAGTTGTCACTGTTCATGACAATGTTTGCTGGGAGGGTAGGGGACAAGGAACTACCCTGACAGGACACTTACTTTTTCAAGCTAATGATAGCTGTGTGTATGTTAAAGCCACCACCTTGCAAGATATACATTTTAATCTTACTACCGCTGCAGGCAAAATTATTTCCTGGCCTGCAGATAGCATTTTGCACGTAGCCGTTAGGTTCCAGATACCCTTTAATTGGACCAGCTTAGTGCCTGATCGATTTCAAAATTTGCTTTCACTGTTACCAGAGGTTCAGAGAATCTCTGAAATACAAAGGCAAATTCACATGCTTCAAAATATATATCAAGTTGAAAAGAATGCCTTTCATACAGCTTATAGAGTGTCTACTTTATGTACTAAGTATGATGTATTGTGTTTTGTGATTAAAACTGTACAACTCCATCATATTATTACTGTGGGAATGTTACTGCTTTTATTGTTGTTATTTAGTTTAGGATTATGTTATTGTTGTTGTAAAGGACGTAATAATAGTAATACCTTTCATGTCCATGCTAATCATGGATTGTCATTACATCCAATCAAAACCCCTAAGGTTGAAGCATCTGAAGTAGAATCTGAATTCCAAGACTTAATGCAAATAGAGATTTGAGAATGTTTGTTGTACTAGTAGTACAAAAGGGGGGTTGTGGAAGCAGAGAAAGAACTGACAGGAAGGGGATTGCAATGCATGACAGTTTGTTAGCAAGAGTTAGGCTAACTGTAACCCTAATGACACGAGATTTGTAGAAGCGAGGATTGTGTGAGGCGAGTGGGAAAGAACTGTGAGAGAAGTTGTTGCGACCTTGTGTAGATAATGTGCAGACAATATGGAATGTAGACTAAGAGTCTACATAAGTGAGAAAAACAAGATATCAGAATGACCTATGTATAAACAAAATGCAGCTGTTGCTTTTCATTGTCTGTAACAAAAGGTATAAATGCTTGCTGTAATTGTTTATCTGTTGAGAGACCTGCCTAGGAGGGGGAGACCCTGTGTCCTAGTGCACTCTCTCCCTTTATGCAGCTGCTTGAGAGAATAAAGTATCTGACTTTGCTGTACCCAACCAAAAGAGTGAGAACTCTGTTATTCTCCGACATAACCTTTAAGCTGAACCCCAACAAAGTTTGGGTGCTTAATTTTTGGAATCTAGCAAAAGCCTAAGTTCCAGATCTATTTTTCTTTCTTTTTTCTTTTTAATAATATTTACCTTTTTTTAAGAACAGGATTGGATTTGTCAAAGTTAGACTCAGGACTCATAGT